ACCGGAATAGGGCTGTAAGTATACGTTCTGTCAGCTTAAAGCTGAAATTAGTCAAGAACGTAAACCTACCGGTACGTAAACCCGAGTCAGCTGACACGATCTGTCTTACCGAAGCGCCATGTAAATGAAAACTCAACACCGCAGAATTTTTCTGTAGTTGTAGCCCGTAGCGCAGAAATCTGCGGAATTTAGATTTTTCCGTGTCAGCTGATTTCTCCTTCTTTAGATGGTTGCCACTTCGTCAGTTTTACAGATGGTAAAAAAGTTATAAGTTCCTATTCAAAATATGTTTAAAATATTTGAAATTTACTATTGAATAAGGTTTTTGTTGAAAACTAAGTAGTTTATATTTAGCTAAAATCTATTATAGCACGAAAAATGTTAGTTGAAAGGGTAAGTTTATGAAAAGGCATTTATGAGTGGCAACAGTGTAGTAAGCAACACTGAAGGGCTCCAGTAATCGACAAAATTCAGCGTATACAGACTGCGTTTAAGTATACGTTCTGCGTTCTCGACTAATTTCAGCTTTAACATCAAAGTATAGAATGTCAAAAATATGAATCATAAACACATACAATAGCAACTGCTACCGTATAAATTCAATACACGCAATTGGTTGGAGACTGCGTTGGTTATGTTGATCATAAGTTCAGCCAACACATTCAATGATCCATTACCCGGAGCTGCTCCAATATGATGAGTAGATTTTAGTGAGCCTCACAAGCCACTGCCTCAGGTTACAAGCTGGATATCTGAATATTGGAAAATAAATAGAAATTATCTTTTTAAAATGATAAGAAGTTTTTCTTTACAAAATTACCTGCGCCACTCTGCCTTAGTACGGTTGTTGCTCCCTTTCATACCACAGTAATTTTGCATGCAACTCTGAATCAGCAAAATTCATGCTCCTTCTCATTATCAACCCTGATCACATTTTACGCCCCGAGGAGTACTCAAAAAGGTTTATTACTGTATATACTATGTTGTATGTGGACGAGCTTAAAGCTTAGTATCCAGCTCTTAAGAAAAGCAAAAACTCCATATAAAATGACGTACAAGAAATGGCTAAGAAATTTTCTTGAGTCAAATTTCCTTAANTAAAGTTTTTTGTGAAAAAAGAGCACAAGTCAACCCAGGTTTGCAACAGAAATATATGCCCGTTCCATTATTTCTTGAGGAAAGAGTGAGGCAACAGGCTGTGAGGTATAAAAAATGTCAAAATTCCTTGGACACACACGCGAAATAATGGCAATTTTTTCTTGACCGTTTTCTTGAGAGCTGGATACTAAGCTTAAGGCGTGTCGCACAGGGGTCAAATTTCCGATTACCCTATGAAAACGTCTTAATTGACCAATCGTGACCAAAATTAATATATGATATCTTCGACTTTAGTATTTTTAATTTGTCGAGTCTCCATAGACCCCCCCTTTGCGACACGCATTTACCTACTCCAATCGGGACCAAAATTTATATGTGATATCTTCACCTATGGTAGTATCGATTTTGGGTATTAGATGAAAAAATAATAATTTTAATTTCTTGTGTCTCTATGGAGGAATCTGAGCTTTGCCCACCGTGCGACAAGCCTTAACCGTCCCCAATCAGGATTATTGGTATTATCGATTGAGGGTGACACTGAAAAAAATCGTTAATCTGATTTGTTAAGGACTACCCTAATGCACATATATATATGTAGTACCTTCATATGTTCAGCTGTAATAAATACATTCGTTAATATTTTATTATATTTATTTTCTGTGTACATATTTTGTTTTTAGTATCGCACATTTGTTTTTAATATGTATTTAAATTGAAAAACCAACAACAAAAACCGTCTTCGTTAATTTCGCTGGTACTGTTAAATATATCTATGTTATTAGTTAAGAACATAATAGCTTAACTTTGCTAAACATTTTAATTTGCACGATACGTGTATGCATACAATTTAATTTAAAATATAAATAAATGAGTAATGGTAGTTACTTATTTAACTCGTCCGTTTTATTTTAGCCAGAAAAATCCAATTTAAAATTTTCATTTTCTATGAGCAGTCATGCAAGCTATAAAAATAGCAAATTAACGGGTTATCAGTTTATTCGTACATACTTGAGTTTTTCACCATTCCTTAACATGTTGTTTAATGTATTCTTTGCAATTATCCATTATATTTCAATAATTTCTCTCTCGAAGCAATTAAAACCCTATTTTATACAATATCAATAAATGTATTTGCATATAATATATGTATGCATATAGCAATCTGATCAAAGTTTATCTATACCAACAATACCAACGTCATCGCTTAACCTACTGGTATCGTTTTTAAGTATATTTTTTTTTTTACTTTTTAGTAGCTTAATTTATTTAAACTTTTGTGTTTATTAAATCTTAAATTGCATTCAGTTCATATCCATTTAATTACGAAATGAAACCTATATATAACATCTGGGTCAAATAGTTAAAAATTGAAAACTAAATAATTTTATTTTAAATGAAACATTTTTGGTGTATCTTTAATTTTTACATAATTTAAGGTTTATCGCGGTGATTTTAAGGACTCCAGAAAGCAAGTTTTGGTTTTATTAAATTGTTATAATCGTGTCGCCTTGACCTCTCTACAGTTTAGTTTATTTCTTAACATTTTTTTCAAAACAACCCATGATATTAACTTGCAAAAAATTACCTTATGCCCGTTCTGTTTCAAGATTGATTTAGAATGTGGTATTGGTATTTATAGTTATGATAGTATGTACGATTTCTCATTGAATGTAGGTATGTATGTTCTTAATATGTATGTATGCAAAGGTTTTTAATAGCAATATTAGCCACGCTTCTTGCTGTTACTTTTCTTTGTAGTGATATCGTCACAAAGAATAGAAGTATTGTTTTCATATATAAAGTAACATATTATTTAAATTTTATAGGCTGGGTTGCTAGAAAACTGTTTAATCCAAATCAACAGCGCTATCGTCAAATCCAAACACATTGTTTTGTTGCTGCTGCTGCTGATTTTCAGTTTGACTAGAGCCACTACCTGCTGGTACTGATTGGGTAGCACTATTGCTGGTACTCTGGGTGTTTTCATATGGACCAGCTCTTTCCATTGTCGTATCATCGGATTGTGATATCTCGGTCATACTGCTGTCCATGACACCACTACGGGTCATGTCGCATTCGTTCGCCTCGTCTTCTTCACTTAGAGATTTACGGCAGATTGGACACGTTCCGTGCAAGTCTAACCATGGAACAATGCAATTCTCATGGTAAATGTGTGTACATGGGAGCCTTCGTACTATTTCGTCCATACGAAAATCCTCCCAACATACTGAGCACTGAGTTTTACGTTCTACGTCCTCGGAGGTTACATGTACTTTTGGTATTTCATCGATTTTATCTTTGGGTAATGGTGGCGGTCCAGATGTCTCCATTTGATTAAGCAATTGCGTTACAATTGTGTCGATACCTTCGCGACCCCACGCATAATCGCCGGGATTGCCCATGAAAAACATTGGGGCATTGCCAAAATACCCGTCATCACCCCCTGAAAGGGATTGCAAAAAATCAAGGAGAACAGTATCCAAACTTCCCAAATTGGGTGGGTGTACGCGACCACCGCCAGAGCTCCCGTTTCCACTGCTGTTGCTGCCTGCATTTGTGCCTCCAGCTCCGCCGCCCAAAAGCATGCTATTGCGCCTATTCGCCGGGCCGATGGCAATTTCTATAGGTCCGTTCCGTGACATTAACAGTGTTTCAATTTCGCCCCGAATGACATCCAAATCAACTAGACGATTTAGACCAAGAGCATCGCTACCAGCATTGCTGGGGCCATCAGCCAGACTAGAAGTACTGCTGCTGGCGCTCGTTGTACTCGGTACAGCTGGCAACTCTTCAACAAATCCACCAGAACAGTGTGGGCAGGTGAAATCGGTGTTTGGAATGTTTACTTCCATGCTGCACATATGGCAATAGAAACGTGTAGGGAGCGGCGGACGCTCATCAACGACAGCTTCGGCCATTCTGGTTTGGTTGGAAACTTCCGCTGGTTCAGTGACAGGCGTACTGGCGTCAGCCTCTGAAGCGGCTTCCGTGCTTTCTGGCGGTGTGGGGTCTTACGTTGTCTTCTGTCCACAGGAAATTTTTAATTACTGAACAGCAAACTTGTCAGTTCGATATATAAATCCTTATCAATTGTATATGATACAAAAATTAGTTATTTTTCGTTCTCCTCGCCTTTTATGGGTGCTTACGTTTTTTCGTCCCGAAATGCGTTCAGTGTGCTATTTACGTTCCACTAGCTCCTATACGTCAGACAGCGGTTGTCACAGTATTAAGCGAATTTGTTGTTTCTTTGGGTATGACGAAATTTACTGATTTTTCGCTTCTACGACACTGTTATTAAATTTATAAATAAAACCGATTTTTCGATGTACGGCGACGCCCCCTGTCACTGCGCAAGTTCTTAAACAATGTAATGTACATGAATTGTTAAATATTTTTATTTAAAGAATTTTAAAGATATATAGCGGAACCACTGAACTGCTAAAATGGACCCATTGGGTTCCACTTGGGAAGTGTTCGAACAGCATTTATCGTAAAAGTTATCGATAAATAACTATTAGGAACAGTAATTAGGTGTGTATAGTAACTTCTCCAGTTAAAATTGTAGCGAGAGCGTAAAAGCAAAATAGGGCGTAAAATTTACAAGAGAAAACTAGCAGAAAAAGTTACTGAACACAAAACTAGTAAAAACTTGCATCTGAACAGTTGTTGCACTGTTTTCACATTGTGGTGTCAACATTTAACTATTTATAAATCAGTTTAACACTCTTTGCTTTGCCCACAAGCACTTACATAGTCCCGTACTTCATTAATATTTTGATTTCCACTAATTTGCTTTTGTTTACGCTTAACCAATTCAACAAATGGTAGCTTTTGACATATATTCTCCTTCTTCTTCTGCTAGTAAAAATTACACTAGCAAGAATTTGCAGATCTCCAGTCTTATTAGGCTCTTGAATCAGTGCTCTCTTGCAAATTTTTTGGTTAAGGCCCTGTCTCCTCAGGAAAACACTGATGTCATGAAAACTATGTCACAAAATATATTTCCAATGGAGACCGCCTATTTCTCATGGGCTGCAATATATGTCAGCGCTTATTGCTTGACATCTATTGCAGGCAATTCGATAGTTTGACAGCCATATTTTCATTTGAAAGAAAGCGTGCTGGTGGTAACAATTTTTATATTAAATCAAAATAAAAGTCTGTTGTTCCTTATTGGATTATTTATGATTACGTTTTAGGAAATTATTCAGCAAGTTTTTTAAAGATTTAAATGTTTTTAAACAACCGAAATTGAGAGAATGTTGTCTGGTGGCGTCATGCGGCAAATGCTTATTTCAAGACATCAAAGTGCCCACACACAAAAACTTGCAATCACATTGCTCGTCAAAATGACAGTTGGTAGGCCATCGGTGTTTGCCTGTGGAGTTCTGCGGTAATATACACTTTTCCAGTAAAAATTAGCAGGTTCCAGTACAAATTAGTACTGACTATTTGTTACTATACAAACCTATTGAAACTTCGCAACCCATGGTGTAATATAACAAGGTGTTGTCAGTAACTTACCGCCCTATTCCCACAACACTGACAAAATTCATCGTATGACTATTGTCACAATTACTGCACCTAAAACACAATATAAACATTGCTTCGCCATTGTCACTTACTCAGTAAGTCATAACAATGAAACTGACAATTGTCATAATAATAATAAAAATAATAGATGGCGCTTACACATATGTTACTGTTTGGCCGAGCTTCTCCTCTTGTGGCATGCGCCTTGATGTTGTCACACAAAGCGGAGGGACCTACAGTTCTACGCCGACTCCGAACGGCGATTGTATTTTTATGAGAAGCTGGTTTTCATGACAGAAATACACTCGGAGGTTTGCCATTTTCTGCTGAGGGACGACCGCTGTTAAGAAAAACCCTTTTTCTATATTTTTGGGATGTTGCTTTGACCAGAGCTTGAACCCAGGTTCTGATGTGTGAAAGCGCGCACTGCTTACCACAATTGTAATACGACAGCTTAAAATACATTTGCGGCATAGTATTGGGCGCAGTAGTAACGGCAATAGTCAGCCGCTGAGTTTTGTGAATGGTGTGGGAATAGGGCGGTTAACCTCACTTTTTCGGCAGGTCTATTCCGGTCACGCATTTTAAAGTACTAGAAAAGGTAATAATTATTAAGTTCTTTTAATCCGTTGGTGCATACTATTTCAAATTAAATGTAGAAAAATGTATAAGTACAGGCTTATAAGCCGGAATATATCCCCCTTATTCTAGAACCCGAATTTTCGTAATTCGTAGCTACGCTACGAAAAATCCACATGCTGCAACCCTTGCGGAAACATGTGCAGCATTGCCAGCTATCAGTTGTGTTTCGAAGTGGAAAGGAATTAAAAAAACACTAATGCGCTTGTTTATAGTAAAATTTATTGATTTTCAATATTTTGAGGAAAATTATGGATTCTGATGCATTTGCAGTTATAGCAGCGGAGCATGATTCAATAATAGAAAGGTTTTGTAATAAAACAGTCTTCTCGCTCCCACACATAAAATTGGCTCCTTTACTTGTGCAGAATGTTGCTTACTCTATAGTTTCTAGTGATATTAGTAGTAAAACCAAAAATTCTTCATACTAAATATTCGTTGGCGTCACCTTCGTTTGCGTAATTTTCTAGAACAATGGTAGAATAGCGACCGTTTAGCTATAAAATAACCAAAAATGCCGATTGATAGAACTTTTTACGCTGATTTCAACGATACCAAATGAGGTTTATTTGTATTTTTTATTATCACTAAATTGTTGAAATCCAAAAGTAGATCATGATAAAATATGGAATTAAAGATAATAACTTGTATTTTCTAAATAATATAAAATTCTTTACCATTAATTATGCAGTTTTTTCAAAAAAGGTTAT